TAATTCTAGCTTGATAAGGCCCATACTTTCTATGAAAAACAGATGGTTAAAAATACTAAAAAGAAAAACATACTTGAGGATGATCTTAAAAGATCAGAAACCAAGAGGAAGTCGCTAGTACTCAAAACATTTGCAATGTTGGGCAAGGTAAACGTTATGTTTTATTGCTTTAATATTCATGTTCTTTTCTAGAATACTAATTAAACGAATGTGAACTGTCAAACAAATGAAGTCTCTGGAAACGTCGCATAGGCATACATATAAGTTCTTGGATATTGAAAAATAATTTACTAATAAAAAAAATGTAATTGAGCTTCTTCAAGAGTATTAGGATGATATTTAGACGAAAAATCTTCGCATACACTATACTACAATCGGTTTAAAGAACATAACTAGTCGTGTTATTAAGTGCATTAGCAGCAGCATATATTATTTTTGTATAGCTCTTTTGCCCAAAAAACCGTAGGCCTATGCACCCTAATAAAATCCAGATGTGCTGATACAGCAAGTCTTCTTCTTCTTTTTTTTTTAATTAACATTAATTTGTGACGGAATATATTTCAGGCTGTGGTGTTAAAAAATCAAAGTGCCACCAGGATCGCAGTTTTAAAAACGAGGTAAACAAGAAGATGTTTTTTATCAATCTAAATTAATTAATTCTTAAATAATTTTGGATGCTGTTGGAAAAGACTTTCAACAGTAACACTCGTAGGAAGACATTCAAAGTGTTGAAACCAAGCAAAAGTCGACAAAATAAATTTAAAATAAAAACGTATATTGTTATTATTATAATCAACTTACGCCTTTTGTCTATTTTAAGGTGCAGCATATACAGAGATCAAATCAAATTTAAAAAGTTCGTTGAACGTTTGGATAAAGCCGGCTCAAGCTCGATCAAAAGGTGATTCTTACGAATTATGCCCTACGCCTACATTTAATCTGAGTAGGCCTATGCTCCTGATTAAGAATATCAATTGTCATTGTCGCCATCGCTATTACCAACTCCACCGTTTTCATTCATCGTCAACATTATATCTTGTTTGAATTTCATTTCATTCTCTTTTACAGTTGTCCCAAAGAATTTGTCCCAACAAAAATTCAAAGTGAACACCTACGACGACCAATTTCAACTAATATGGAGACAAATTGTCAGCAGGCTAGAAGTGCATCTTCTGTTCACACGGTTAGACAACTAACCAGATTAACCCACCAACGATGTGATACAATTCAGCTGCAAGCAACTAGTGCACGGGCAAATCTTCAGAATGATATAGCTGGCTGCGTTCACTATACAGATGACACGGGGAATGCTACAGTGGTACAAAATGATGTTCCGTCAACATACAGCGTGCCACAAGTCCATCCATTCACACTGCTACACATGCCATGTTGTCGAAAATGAGTTTTTTGATAGAGCAGATCAGAATTTTTCGCACATTTTTAGAAAGAGAACAGCTTTTGTTCTGTCAGCAAATTATAGCGATATGCAAGTCAACAAACTAAAAAGATGGTCAGGTATTAGGTCATTATCTAGATTCGTCACAAGGTCATATATTCACATTTATACATACATGATAATGATATGATGATGATGATGATGATGTTGATGTTGATGATGATGATGATGATGATGGTAGTGGTGGTGACGACAAGGACGTCAATGATATTAATGTGAATGATGATGCAGGTGATGGTGAACGTGATGGTGGTGATGCTGACGTTATTGATTTTTTTTAATTTGTTATTCGTTTTCAGGAAACCTAATTTTAAGCACTTATTTTACATTCATTGTAATCTTACAATGTTGGTGGCTGCTATTTTTCCATAGACCTGATAAAGGTTTGTACCCAAAAGAACTCATCGTAATAAATGGGCAAATTCTTTGTGATAGACTTTAAAATATAACTTGTGCATGCAATCCAGTCAAATAGAAACTAAAGTTTTTATATCTTTGCTTTAATTTCAATGTAGATGACAACAAAACATTTCATGTCACCAATCTACGAATGAGCTGACGTCTATGTTCATCGCCAATTCAACGACGAGGATTCAATTAAATGGTTCCCGTTCAAATGATCTAAGAGACCAAATTCGTCCACATGAAACATGAATATAATTATCAATGTCAACAAAAGCCAACCGATTCACCTAAAAGACAGAATCTTGTGCGTAGTGAATACTGTGACTCTCGTTCACATTAACCGACAGAGGTATGAGAAAGCGTTGCTATTTTATTACAGTCATCAAGAATGACGAGAATAGAAAAGTTGGCTGTTAAGAGATTGGCCATCAAGAGACAATACAAGAACAGCGAACTGGATTATATTCACACTATCTAGGCTTAGATAGTCCGTTGAATATGGACAAATTACGATCGACTTTTAACATTGAGCATTATATTAGTAGTGATTAACCAATAGTGAAGTCACCAGCAACCAAGTGCAGAGATAGTCCAGGCAACCAAAAGTATTAATAACCAATTGATATTCAATTACTTTGATATTTGAACATAGCCAACTTATAGACTACCAATCTGATAGACAATCATTAGTCAAGCAAGTCAAATCGAATGAAGTCAGTTGAGAGTCGAACCAAGTGACAGTCAAGTTGGTTAAATAAATTAAAGTGCAATACTGTAGTCAAGCAATAGATAAGTCAACTGAGTCAAGCTAACAGACTGCCAAGTCGACTGATCAAGTAACAAGTAGTCAAGGAATAGTTAAGTCAACCATATAGCAAAGAAACAGAAACTGTTTCTTTGCTCGGAGTCAACTGAGTTCAACCGACTGACAGTCCAGTCGGCGGTTGGCTGAAAATGCGTGCATCCATGGATTTTAAACAATTTGACTGTACTTGCGCTCTCGCTGTACAGTACTCAACTTCCTAATCCTCATAATTGGGGTTTGTGCAAAGCATCATGTGTGTATGTTTGTCTTGTGAAAGGGATTGTCACCTACTCGTAGCCAGGGAATACATTCGCTATTGGCAATCCTTGATGCATGTATGCCTAAATAAATAAAAAATAAAATAAATAAATAATAAAATACTGCACTATCATTCACCCAAACTGTATTACTGACAATGATGCATTGAATAACTACTACAACATCCTGGTTACTGATTTATTTATTTTTATTCATATATTGATAAAATAATATTATTGGTTAATACATAAACAATGTCTACGATATTTCATGATCACAGAGCATACTTTGCCAGTCAGTGGCGTATCCAGGAGGTACACATGGAAGGCACGCCTCCTTCCCTGAAAAGAGTCTTTCCCCATGGAAAGTAGAACCTCATATCACCCTACTTTGCGAGTTAGCACCCCCTCACTTTATCGTCAAACCCCCAACTGCACATTCGCACCTCTATCCCCATACCGCACCTTCCCCACTACCATTTAAAGATTCCTTGATACGCCACTGCAACCAATTAACAAAAAATGTCGATGGCATCCCCACAGAAGTTAAATTAAATTCTCATATTATTATACAGTATATATCATAGTTTTTGAATAACATATCAACTTAGCCGAATTCTTTTAACAGGTCCTCAACGCAAAAGGTCCTAGGTGTATGCTATTAACATTTGAAGCCAATAAATCATTATTGGCCATTAGATAATTTGATTTATGTCCATAATTATTTTGAATAGCAAATGCTTAAGCAGCAACTGACAGCGTAGCACCGTGAACACAATAATAAACAAATAAATAATTAATAATAACAGTGCTCGAATAGGGACATGATGACATAATCAAGTTTCTGGTGGGATTTGAACCTACAACCCTCTCATCATCACATGAGTATCATACCATAAACCCACAGAGACTTATTATGGTATAGACGCAGATCTAACCCCAAGACACTTTCTCTCATACCACTGACTGAAATCCTCACACATACATGTATGTACATTTACATGGATTTTAGTATATCTATATATGTGTACATACATGTAAATTATCAAATAATGGTAGAGAGAGTGCTTGAACAAAGGAACAATGATTTAAAGATCGTATTGGTCATAGCCTATCAACGAAAAAAAATATATATGTGCGACCAGTTGGTGCAGGGTTCAGATTATCACATTCTCAAACTTGAGGTTGGAGGTTCAAAAACTTGCTGTGAATTTCAATTGTCCCTTTGGTAAACCCACAGTTGTTTCTCTCCACTTAGGAAGTAAAAGTGGGTACCAAAGATAGGAAGGTAGAGTGCTTGGATGCAAACTCCCATCTCCCACCCTGGGGGGGGGGGGGCCAAAAAAAATGCCTAAGACTGCCTCTAAAATACAGTTTTTCACTGAAGAGCTGTACAGCTTAATATGTCACTCTATAATCAGCTGCTATAACATGTTTATAGTTGTGAAGTATTTAGCTGGATTTAGTCAACCATTGACAGGGGCCACTCCAATAGGGGGAAGGGGACATGGAGGAAAATTCCCCCTCCCCCTATTTGCAATGTAATGAAATAAAATAAACTAAAAACAAATTATGTTTTAAGGTTCTTGGTCTGCCCCTGACTGAGCAACTACAACAGTTACTAATTCCATGGTTGTACTCTGCCTGTTTAAACTGTTTTACTATTAAGTTGGTTTAGCCTGTATGTAGTTCAACCACTGAACTACTACACCAGTAAACAGCTTTATGTTTGTACACTGACTGATTAGACTATTTCAGGCATGTTGTGGCGAAATGGTTAAGTTGTTGCACAGTCCAGTATTGAGTAAATGAGCTATAAAATATGGAAACTCAAAAAATTGAATAAAAATCCAAATTTGTTTTTTTTACTAAAGATCAATAGTTAAATGTCTTATTAATCATGTCCCAAAGTATTAGTTTGGGAAATGGTTAACAAATTGTTTATTTAACTTTATTTTTCATAGTTATTCTATTAAACAATGTATGCACAAATAACTCTGAAAGGCAATAACTTAAAATCATGTTTATCTTGACTCTAAGAGTACTCTACTTTCACTTTCCAATAACTTAGGCTTGAAATGTCCAATTTAAATGAATGACCCCTCATTTTAAAGATCACATACTCAGGTATATGAAAACACCAATAACTTGAATTTCAATTTTTGCTACAACTTAGCCATTTTGACACAACATGCCTCATTTTACTATAAAGTTTTACTGAGCTGGTTTAGCCTGTGTGTAGTTCAACCATTGAGCTACTACATCAGTTAATAGCATCATGGTTATACTCTGCCTGTTTATACTATTTTTAGGTCGTACTGAGCTGGCTTAGCCTGCGTTTACTACCACCATTAAGCTACTATTATTAATAGCGCCATGTTGTTCTCACTTAGACCTTCATCTTTAAGTTGTACTAAGTTGTTTTAATCTGTATACAGTATTTGCTATACCATGGGCTGGTTTAACCATAAAGTTAACAGCTCGGGTAATAGAATGGTTGTCCTGTGTTGGTTTAGCCTGTTTTAGTTGTACTGATCTACCATACTCTGTTTTTAGCTGTTATATTGTGCTTCAAATTCTTTTTCCAAAATACTCTTGTACTCATCCAGTCCTCCTTCCATAGCTTTTACTGTACCATTACCGCATACCCACAATTCCTTGCATACTAGTCGGATTAAACATTCGTCATGAGATACAAGCACAACACCACCCTAAAGGAAAAAATAATAATTGAATAATAGCAGGTAATAGTAGAATAAATATTGCTTCTGAGTGAGTTCACTACTCGGCAATCAGTGCTGTCAATGGCCAATCTCTTTCTTCGTAGAGGTCGCAGTCCCCACTACCGTCAGCACGTTCTTGGCCCTTGCAACAGGTCAAAAAAAGTACTAATTTTTAGGGAATAGTACTTTTTCAGGGGAATAGTACTTTCTATTACCGCTTCTTAACCAATCAGATGCCTAGTCTATGATTAAGGTATATAATACATAAAAGATGTACATACCTTGAATTCCTTTAAAGCCATGCCAAGTGCTTCAACAGTCTCTATATCCAAGTGATTTGTAGGTTCATCCAGAATATAAAAATTTGGTCTGAAAAATAATAATTATATAATTATTTCACCACTTTATAATTATAAAAATAGTGAATTAAATAAATTATAGCATTAGGGTAACCCCCTACTTTCCAAAAGATTTACAATGGGTTCTTTAAAGTGCACACAAGCCAGATGCGTATACTGAGCCTCCATTTTAAGTCCTTATCTGAGAAGACTTTTGCCATGGTAACTAAACCCTGGGTGAGAAACGGCTCGAACCCATGCTGATGTTAAGGCTTCAGTCAGCAATGCCCCTGCCTTACCCCTAGGCCACTCGACTTACCGAGTCCCAATGGCTTTCAGTTTTGGAGGTGGTGTCTATAGATATGCTGTATCTGCATATGACTAATGCTCATTAAATTACATGAAAATTATGACATCACAGGTACGATTTAGGCTGTTGGATAGAATGCTGAAATTAAGCCATAAAAACAAAGCCTATTAATTATCTTAAATTCTTTAATAAGTCAAAAAAATTTAACACGGTGCCTTTGTGGATAAATTGCAACTCTTTTAGTGATAAACGGATAGAGACAAGGAAAATAATATTGTATAAAAGTAAATATCAGCCAAGTAAATTTATATTAAAAAAACTGAGAACCTTAGATATGCTTACCGGTTCATTGCCATGACAGCAAATGCAACTCTACTCTTTTGACCTCCAGATAAGCTGGCAACTGATCTGGTTGCTAGATCACCAGTCACTCCATAGCTACCAAGTTGTCTACGGTATTCTTCTAATGGTTTATCTGGTGAAATTAACCAAAGTGATTATTAAACAATTTTTTATTACTCAATGTAATAAAAAACCATAACCCTGCGGGACGGTGTACGTTCCTTTGTACGTAAACATAGTTTAGAGGGATTAGTGGCCCAGTAATGGTTTCTAATGTTTTTACGTACACCTACACCCCCACCCAGGTCCGTCCATCAAATGCTGTATATTTACATACCTGCCAACATTCGAATATCAAAAATAGGGACGCTATTCATTGGTGCCACGCCCCCACCCCCCAAACAATTGTAAGATGGCAATTATATCAACCATAACAACCACCTACTGAAGACTACGCATGCGTTGTATGGCGGTTATATAAAGCACGTGCATCGATCGATTCATTTTCAAGTTTTTTTTTACTGTAAAACTACATGCCATGTTGATAATTTTTATTTTTATATATACATTTTAGTTTCATTAAATGCTACTTCAAGTCTATTTTGCTTATATTGGATGCAACCTTGTTTTATGATGATCACGCATGCATTGTATGGCTTTAGATAAAGCATGTGCATCGATTGTTTTCAGGTTTGGTGGTGGCATACCTAGAGCAGGGCCTTCAAATTTAGTAGAATGCAATGAATGATTTTGGGGACTATCGCAATTCCCAAATTTGTTTTCAGTTTTTGTGTACAAAGGAACGTACACACCCGCAGGGTTCTGATTTACACAAGGGACCCCACCAAGTCTGTCCATCACATGCTGCATATCACCCCCTCCCCCCCCCCCCCCCCCCCCCTTGTAGACCAAATTCAGAAATTATTTCAACAAGTTGGGCTTCTAGCTAGGACCATCAATTGCATGAAATTGTCGTCATCGTGTGTATTGACATATTGTTCATTCAATGTATTCTTTGCCCTTAAGTATTTACTAAAACACCAGGTCCGTCAAGTGCAATAGCAGTCACTGAAGAAAAGCCTACTTTACGTAGCCTATGTCACACCTAGACCTACACATGGTCTGTCAATTCCATGCTGTCGACGTCGTCACTGTTTATATTGACTTTGTTCAATGTACTCTTGCCTTCAAGTATAGGACTATACTAAAACACTAATAGAACATACAGTAGACCATAAATTAATAGTTACAAATTGGCTGATTTGCCACAACTATCTCAGCTTGCTCAATGTTCAGACAGTCGCGAAAACAATATAACGACCTTCACCAAGCCGCTAGCGACGTTAAAAACAAAATGTCAGCAAAGTTTTTCCGACGCATGCGCAAATCAAAATTTGGACTAAAAAACGACTCAAAAACTGGTGGTAGGGGGTATATGTTTTATCGCGTACAGCTTACATTTTCTATCTAACCGAAAAAAACAAACATTTCCCACACAATTACATGTCCACTAGTACTTGGGTACAATGTATACCCGCTCCGAGGCACCGTTTAGGAGCCTATTTGTTTACAGACATACAGACAGGTTGTTGCCATACATCTCATAAACACATTTCACATCTGTATCATCCCAATAGTTAATCTGTGACCTAAGGTCACAAAGGAACTAAAAATGTGAAGCAAATCCTTGCCAAGCCACTAAGGCCCCTAGGGGCTGGAGCTCATTCCCAGTTTCTGTAGCATGAAGTGGATGAGTGTGATGTTGCCCCTGGGGGAGATGCTAGCCACCGTAGGTACCCATTCAGCCCTCAAAATTAATGCCGGCATTCATCAATGTAAACGTAAAGATTTTAGGCCTAGCCCAAGCAAACCAGGCCTACGCTGGCAATAATTGTACCAGTTGTGGTAGACACAATAGGATCGCCGTAAACACAATATAAAATTTTATTCTTAATGAAATCAAGTTATTTAATTTGATGTATTATGAGTAAAATGTCAATAAAATCAAACTGGATTGTATGTTTCATGCTTTCATATTGTTTCGGTCTGACATTTTTTTTCTAAACAACACATTCTTCGCATAAACATTAGGTTGTGCCGCGTAAAACTCTGCCAGCTCATTTGTTAATTTTTTACATGGTGTCATGGATGGGCAAATCAGTTTGGCTGTGATGACGTCAGATCGCCCTAAGTTTCGTAGTGTGTGACAGCTTGCAGACAGGAACACGCTCAATGTAAACAGATTAATTTTTAATTAAACAGATTTATTAAAATAAATAAGAATTTGAACAGTCAAATCTAAAAAATTTTAATTTCATTCTCTGCAAATTTTCTCTGTAATTAGCAACATGTTTTTTAAGGAATAAGTGAAGTTATGCATTTGTAATTTACACTGATGAATCTATGACATCCAAATTCAAATTTAAACGTCTACTGAAGGAGTCAGCCATCGTAGAAACTTGCTTTGGGTTCCGTCTTCATTTCAGGTTGATTGCAATCAATTTTTAAGGATTAGGCAAGGCAATAATGTACTCTATAAACAGTATTAAGGCGTAAATTTAAATTTATCTAACATTAACGTTTAGGCCTACCGGAGTGTCATTTTAATTAATAGATAATCTCCACGGCAACGCTATTGGGACTGACCTAGCTGTACGTGTCGTAACCGTCGCGACGGTTCATTTACAGGGTGTTAACACAGACAGCGATGATTATTGCGTTATTTCGTCTGGAAATCGTTGTTTATTAGCTATAATCTGTTTGTTCGGTTTGTAGAAGTTGATTTTTATGTTCCAGACCAAATAAAACGTCTGGAATTCGGAACGGAGATCCGGTTTTCAGAAAGTATTTTATTAAATGAAGAATAGGAATGATTTTGGGTCTTGAAAAAAAAGTTTGGTTTAGCCTGAAATTGAAAGATTCACTGTGTTTTATTTTCGTAGATAGTTTCATTTTATTCATCATATTAAAATTAACAATGTTCAACATTTTATCAATAATTAGTTGTGATTTTGAACATCAGTCGGTAGGCTAGGCTTTTCAGCTTAATTGGGTGACTTGAAAAGACATCCATCACTGCTACAACAGGTCAGCATGGGTTAATTGCAGGGCTGTAGGCTGAAAACTAAATCCTGCTGACGTTATAACTGGCATCAATTTTATAGCACCATATTTTCATTTTTTATTTTTTTTTGACGTAAATTTTCCCTAATTTTAAGGGCTGTCCATTGATAAACCTGGGTAGACTGAAGCAAAGTAGATGTAGTGTTTTGCTCAATGACACAAACGAAATGCACAGTAAAATCCCTTAATACATCTTACTGTATTTTAATGTTTTAATAATATATCGTTTTAATGTTTTTTACTGTTCTGTTTGGAACATTTTAAAGATTTAAGTCTGTTTTTAACTATATATGTTTGATCGCTTAGCTTTAAAACACATTTCTGTTATATTTATTTATAATGGACTGAATAAAATGAATTGAATTGAATTGAAATTGAACCCTGACTGATTTGTTGTTCAATGGTAGTATTTAGAGTGATGTGTGCCAAGATACAAATTACATATTCTTACTTGGATATTTGGATGCCAAAAATTCAATTGCTGATTGGTTCATATTCAACTGATCTACATGATGCTGGGTGAAGTAACTGATACGTAAATTACGGTGCGCGTGGCGTATACCATCAACTGGGTTCAAATCACCAAGGAGTATTTTAAGTAGAGTTGTTTTACCGGTACCATTCTCTCCTACCTAAAAATGAAAACAAATAAGACACATATAAAAAAATATCATGATACATAAAGTTTAAATTCACATTCATAATACTTACATATAACATATTACTATACCAACGATATTGATGATAATAATTCTAATATATTGTAGATTACAACTGTTGCGTCAGCATGGGTGCGTGCCACCAAGAGTGTTCAAATGAGGTAACGAAAGTTGCGACATTTTTTTATTCTTAGTACGGAAATGAAAACAAACTTTTGGATTCCTGAAGAAAATAGCAAAAGAATTCAATTCAGACAATCCAGTCTGAAGAATTAACATAACATTCTGTCAAAACAAATGCTTCTATTTTATAGAATTGATAAAAATCTGATAAAAAAAAAATTGAAAAAATTCAATTCCATATTTGAATTACCTGCTGTATTTTTTTGACTATTAAAATCTAATTTGTGATGTAAGCAACAAATCTGCTTTACGGTATTTTATGAATTAATTATAACCAGAGAGTTAAGAACAAGAACAATATCTTGTGGAACCGAATCTCAAGTACTGTATTTGCAGAGCCATGTGCATGCGTTGTAGGCGACTTAGAACCATCTATTTTCTAGCGGGGTATAAATATGTTTTTAACATGACATACGTGTGTTGTTAATGAAATTTTCACCAGGTAGACAATGGTTTAGCCTTTCCTTTTTGGGGATCTCCACGAAATGTCAGTATGAAAACAACGTAAATAATGGCTGTTTATCAAGCGTAAATATGTCTTAGAATAATGCAACATTTGATAGATTCGAAGAATATAAAGAATTTGTTAAAGGTAGAGCAGGCCCAACTAGGATAGGCTGAGCTAAGTAGGCCGAGCCGTCCAAGCCCTCATGATAAGATTGGCCGTCTTAAATAATTGTTGGCCGTCCAAGCCCTTGCCGTCAATTAACGGATATAAGTTACATAACAAATATCACCTGATTTTTCACTCTCATAATGAAAGAGAATACTTTCCAACACCTGTTAGCTTATTAGAACAGTATATAAGACCTGGCCCAATTAATGGATAATTAAAATAAATTATGCTTTTCCTGTATTCTTTTGCATAGACCATTTACGCTGACAGAAAAATGTCTGTAAATCAGTAAAAAATCTTTTTTCAGTTTAGCTCAGTCGACTAAACAGGTGGAGATCTCTGGGTCCAAGGTTCAATTTCCATCACTGCTCTCTTTACTTTGGATAAGATGTTTAAGCTGTTGGGTCCACATTGCATTTTGGCCCGTGTACATGCATGTGCGTAGTACACTCTGTAGGAAAGAATAGGGGATTGTCTCCTGGTGTACTGCCCAATTACACCAGAAGGACCCCACTGGAAATAAATCTTCTTCACACTTTCGTGGGTTTTCCTTGGTGTTACACCAAAAAAATCCATCCATCTGTTTCTGGGTGGAAGTTAACAGCCTATTTGATACATTTTGTGGTTTTATTCAAATTCATTAGCAGACAACAATCTTTCAGTTTCATGTGGGCACTACAGTGTCCTTTACTGACTTACTATACATATCCTAGAATCAAGATCTGCTGAGAGGTCAACGCCACTAAAGATGACCTTATCTTTAGTGTAAGAAAACATTACATCTGATAATTGAAGAACAGGAGGTGAAAGCTTCTCAAATTCTGAGGGAAATCTGAAATAAGGAAAATAAAACATTTTACTTCATGAGTAGATTTCCCTCACAAATTAAGAAAGGGTAATGGTACTGGGTCTGGTCTACAGGTGGTTGTGGTCATTCCATTCTTAGATCCTTTTGATGGAGAAAGTGTACCTTTTCAGCAAGGTTTGCCTAGGTCGAAACTAACTCCAGCTATATAAAATTGATTAGAAAATTTAAAATTGTTATTCTTATTAATGAATATATAAGGATTACTATGTCCATTTTTTCATTAATCTAATCTACATAAGTTTACATTTAGAATCTACATTTAATTAATTATAATTGTTTAAGTATTTATTTGAAAAACACAATGTATAAAGGAATATAATAATTTAAGTTTATAATAATATTTAAATAAAGAAATATGTAAATAGTGTTACAATTATGTTATTGTTGATTATGCCTACAAAAGAGACAGGAACAGAAAAAGCAAAGAAGTCCAGTGCAGCTTAGAATTGTACCAAAAAATTATATAATAATGACAATGGCTCATTATTATATTTTACATGTTTGTAGTAAATTTTGTGCACTAACTGTCAGAGGTCAAGGTGCATAAGCCTATTACGTTTCATAATTCAACAGATAGGAATTATGTTTTGCTCTACCTGACGTGTTATCATGTTGAATGCCATGAAAAAAAATCTCTCAAGTGATTCATGTAGGAATTGAACTCATGACCTCCTGATTAAACTAGACCACCGAGCTTGCACTAGTGTTGTATCCCCAAGTGACAGCGGTACTGCAATGCTATTTTGATATTTTTATTTTCGTAGATTTAATGGAAATTATACAATTAATTTACCTCCACATTCAATAACTATTTTGCACCTGGGATTTTACTACTTACTTGAGTACAACTTCTGATTCCTTTTCCACAGCTTTAAGTTCTGGCCTGGAATAATCAAAATAATTTGAGTAGACTAAATGGTAAAAGCATCAATGAATTTCATGAACAATTACCTTAATGGAGTTTTCTTCGGAATTTAACTAAGAATAATAGTATCCTCCATAACTATTGTTCATAATATACCTACATACTGTACATCAAAACCACACCTGACGTTGGCTAGCAAAGGTAGTTAGGTGTTAATCCAGGAAAGTACCTTAATCTTCTAATCAACTCATAAAATATCAGCATCACATTTGATATCAGCATCTTTATCAAGCATGCACAAGTGGTGAAAAATATGAATAGTGATCTATGTACCATGTATCTTCTAGTAAATCTATGTTTATTTGCCTTTGAATTTAGAATTCATTATTTTTCAGTATCAAAACTGTTTAGGATATATATTATTTATATTTCACTGAAATGATACTTGTTCATTAAAAAAAATTAATCTATTAAAATTCAAAGCCATAAATACAATTTTGAGTTGCACAATAATATTTAAAAACCAGATTGGTTGGTTCGATTAGTTTTGTAATGCTTATATATATTTAACAACTGGTGGAAGGGCAGAATGGGTGGTTATGCCCCTTTTCCCCCACCCCAACAAAACAAGGTCTTACTCCGGAGGCTTGATTTAAGGCCATAAATTGATTTAAGGTAGGAAGAATATTAGCATTGTAATCACACTACATTTTATTTATAACAATAAAATCACTATAAATTATAGTAATTACCTTGAACATGAACAAACCTTTACTTACATTCTTTCTATTTCCTTAATTTTACTTTGTACTAAAGCTGCTCTGTTTGCATTATATCGAAATCGATCTATAAACACCTGAAATTTAAATAAATATACAATTTAAAATTTATATAGCTTTTATATATATTGAACATTTTAAATTCTGCTATGCTAGCTCAGTCAGCTAAACTGGTGGTAGCCACTGTGTGTGAGCTGAACCGTGGAGATCCCTTCCCCGGTTCAATTTCCATCGCATGCTCTTCTTGAATTTCAGCTGGAGGGCTGAAATACAAGTTTCGAAATTGCACACCGTCTTTCAGATTAGACGTTTTGTTGGTCCTGTGTGCAAAGCAGCCCATCTGCACATTAAAGAACGCAGTACACTCTTCGGAAAAGAGTTGGGGATCTTTTTCTGCTGGTGTACTGCCCAATCACCACCAAAAGGACTCCACTGGAGATAAGTCTTCTTCAGACTATTGTGGATTATCCCTTTATTCACATCCTGTAATTTTTTTTTACACTGTTGGATGCAATGCAAGTAATCCCGTAATTTTGTTTACATCGACTGTTGGATGCAACACAAGAAATAAAAAATAAAAATGAAAAGAAAACACAAGCAAAGAATGTGTATTTAATCATCAATTTAGGACAAATCAGCAATCCAAAAATTGTGAATATTAAAGTTTACACAGCAGGGCGGTAACAAGGTGGTGGTCCGTGGCCTGGGGCTTGAGTATTTTAGGGCTGGGCTACCAAAAAATACATTAAAACTAGACACATTATTCAATTGCTGATATATAAGGGCTTGCAATTTTTTTTTAATTTTTTTTTAATTTTATACGGTTCTGTTACAGTTAAAAATGAGTGTCTGTCACCACAAAAGGTTTACATAGAACACAGTTTACATAGAAGCCTTGTAAGCTCTCTTGTTGGTAAACACACAAAGTAAAGATTAAATTTATGAAATAATTTTAATTTTTGTTACATTACTTTTCCTCTTGAAAATACCGATATAGTCCAGTCAATCTATGACAAAAACATAGTGAACCTAGAACTAATTGCAACAGAAATATTTTTTACAAAATTTTTTCCTAAAATATACACATAATAACATGCTAAAAGTCGGAAAAAAATCCAATCAGGGGAACATCATTAATTTTAAAGACATTTAATGGGTTAACATCCAACGGTTTATATAGTGACGCACCGCCGTTGAAGTGTATAAAAGCCTGTTGTTGCTAACAAAGAAATAGTAAAAGCATATACAGTATGGGCGCCCGCGTGCGAACACAGTTGAAGCAAACCAGAGGCGTTGTACAATAATAAACGCATGCGTCTGCTATCCCGATTGGTCCCACTCTTGTCGTTAGTTCTAGTTAAACAAATTTGTAATTCTTTAAAGGCTAGATCCGGGCATATATTTTCTCTTCACTATGTGTTAAAAAATACATTTTTATAAGATATTATGTTAGTAATCGACAAAAAAATTCGCCAATTTGACTGAAAACGAGAATATAAAAATCCACTTAGAACCGCAAAAATCAAGCAGTCTACTTTTTTTCACTAGTTAGGTTTTAGAATGCTCCAAGCGTGATGAGAAAACAAATTACAACACACTACTGTCAACCAACGACACCGCGAGAACGTGACTTCACCACACTCACCTGTAAAACGCGTCGGTCAAGATGGTGTACAGTAAACATAATTGCCTAACAGAATCAATAACACAATTGAAAAACTACCAAAAAAAAAAAAAAAAAAATGACAGAGTAGTTTATGGATTAACTTGCATATAAAATGAAGACCTAGGCTAGGCCTAGTATCAAAACCAGCCCAGTTTCTAGGCTAATCGTCACATAGTCATATCTCAGCCAGTCTACAAGTCCAGGTCTAGCTAAGAGAACTGCGGAATAGTACTAATACCAATCTTCCCTTCAATCCACGCATTGCCTGCACAGTGTAATTTGTAGGAATTGTTGTAGGGGTAAGCGTTATATTAAACTCATACGCCTTGACGTAGGCCCTACTAGGCCTCTGGGCCTACTACTACTGAACTGCACAGGATTGCCTAGGCCTGTAAATATTACTACTGTATTGCTATAGTTATTAGGCATGTTGTTGCCTCGTTTATTCTCTGAGAATTTCCCTTTTTCGATCCATAGACGAGTTTGATAACATCGTAATAGCAAGACACAGTTTCTTGAATTTATCATCATCAAACAACTGTGGTCTCCCATTTTTCCTTCAATTCTTAAGTAGCAAATGATACCACATAACAACGACAACCGAACCAATCGTCTCAACTCGTCCATCCTCCTAGCCCGGCTGGGAATGAATCCCGCTGGACTGGCATAGATACCTTCTCCTGTCGACGATTTCCCAACGATATAGGGCCTGGGCACCTCTGGCTCAAAGGCATCCATAGCTAGACCTAGATCGATCAAATCTACCACCTTACCTTCCCGTCTATCTTTCCACCATTACTACTCAACCAAAATAGGCCTACTGCTGTGTTTAGTTTTTTTATTTGCCCTATTGTTTATTTGTTATGATTTTTTCAAAATGCCTGCTCTTAAGGTCATTTGTGTGCAAAAGAATATGAATTTTGCTGGCTAAGTTTACCTATACCCCCACTTTCAAAAAAGTAATTATTTTCAAAAAAATCATGTAGCAAAACAAAATTCAGAAAAATCCCGAAACATAGGTGAATCAATAGATTGATAATAACTATAATATATAATCAATACAAAATTTTTGCCTGGAGCTGGCCTTCAAATTGGATGTTATTGTAAGTATGGATTGGATTGGGCCATAACATCAAATCATAATTAGGAATTTGTTTAAGACTGTTATATATATTCCAAGCAGTATGTTTTTAAATATATAAATATCATTAAAATTTAGTTCGTATTTTTTCAGAAAACTTTTAGGTGAGGTTTAGTGGCGCATCTCGGGGGTAGTGGCGTAACAATGGGGTCAGGGGCCCTATGTATTTTAGATGTGCACTGTTATTCTTGTTTTTAACGACGAATAAATGATATAATATGGATCCAGAAAATTGAGGCCAGGGAGGGACTTCCACAGTCGAGTCTACCTCAGACCCACCATGGTTGGGGCTGAGGTAAGAAAATCTATGAATATGGCACCTTTAGATGGCCGGAAATAGAACTTCAGACATAAAATTCTGCCACTGGATATAATATATGTCCTACAGTCAATTTCAGACACACATTATGCTGTTGCCCTTGTGGGGCTGTTGAGAAAAGAAAATGTATTATTATGGCATGTCTACATGGCCGGAAATGGCACTCAAAGACATAAAATTGTGTATATAATTTTCTTTTTATCTCCATTTTAAATTTTATTTTTTGACAAAGGTGGGGTCCCGGGCCGATGGGGGCCCCCTCTCTCTAATCGTTATAATATGATATGCCCTACAGTCGATTTCATAAACACATTATGTTCTTTTTGGTCAGGGTGCTAGATCGAGGAACCTATGGGTAGGGCCCCTAGAATTCGGGGGCCCTGCGGACCACAGCATGAGAGCGCATATGCATTATGCCACTGCTAGGGGGTGTGCAGGGGGCACACGCCCCTCCAAAAATCACTCGGGGGCCCCCAGTCGCCTCCAGCCCGAAAAAATCATGGTCAAGTACAGTAGTTAAAAAACACCTAGAATTACCTTTTGCAAATTAGCACCCCTCAACTGATCATCGAGCCCCCAACTTCACCTTCGCAATTCACCCCCCATCGGCACCCCCATTTCAAGACTTCTAGATACGCCACCGGTGAAGCTTAAACCTGCAAATTATCATTTTCAAATTTACCTGTAAATGTTGTCGTTTTTGTAGTTGAGCCTCATATTCTCTCTGTTGGTTTTTCAACTTCTCGTCCTTTGTTGTCACAAACTGTGAGTAGTTGCCACGGTAATGATCAACTTTTTGTGAGAATAAGTGCAGGACATCTGTGGAGATTTGATCGAGGAAGTTTCTGTCATGAGACACCACTAATAACGTTGTTGGCCATGCCTGTAAGAAGAAAATTCAAAACTTCAAAAAGCATCCGAAGTTTTTTTTATTTTTCAGTTTCATCTGCTCACTTGTTCTGCGCATAGAGACTCTCATATTTTGCGCAATATAAAATGAATAACCTTTAACCTTTACTACCTTATCAACCAAATCACAAGCAATCATATCATCACACACATCACTAACAACACAATCAAGATAGTTTGTGTTAGTTTGTGAAAAAAAAAAAAAAATGCGTCAAAATAAGCGCATATTTGGTTGTCAAGAACTTTTATATCCTTTACTACATATAACAACAAATGCATTTTTTAGTTTCATGAACATACACAATCTACTTGTATTGCGTAGTTTATTTAAATGAGCGATGATATACTATATGAGATAAAAAAATACAAAAAAATAGTGACAAAGATATTCAGCCTATACATTGCACTATGAATGAAAGTTAGCTATAAATATCAAAAATTGTATATAGCTAATAATCCTTTTAATAACTAAGTTTTACAATTCTTTAAGAATTGAAGATGATGTCACTGTCAAACAAGAATAAAGTAACGGATGCTATTGCATAGACCACCCTTACCATCATCATTATAATGCTCAATATGATTATATTAGATCCATGAGAGCCCCTAATATTTCAGTCAAAACATGCCAAATTCCTTACTTCTTCAGACACAAACCCCATTGTTACCCCTCCTCTTTTTTTGTTTAAGCATCCTAGACCTGCCCTTGAGTGCTGTCAAAATCAAATAAATCTTTGAGTTGACAGTCAGCAAAAGCCATAATTTACTGAATACAAAATAGAATGTAACACTTTCCAACATGGACCCCAAGGCCTTGTAGCTGCCGGGGCACCAATGGCAGGCCTCAAATTTTACCTCGGCCATTGCCGACGGTGCCCTCCAAGTTGGCCTTGGTGCCCCTGAAAATGAAGCACGACGACGGCCACTATTTGCCTGCCCTTTTGCAGTACCGAGGCTAAATCAAATTTTGCCTTGGTGCCCTTTTATATTTGAAATTTTGGCCTTGGTGCCTTTCCAAATCATGTAATACCGGAGGCCATTTGGCCTTGCCCATAAAATCCCCAAATTCGAGGCCTGCAATGGCGGGGTCTGGAGGCTGGCACAGACACCCTGCAGGGTTCGAGAAAAAAACCTACAGCCATGTACCATATTCATATGCTTAATTTAAATGCATAATCCCATAATTATACAGATCAGATGTTTAGAAAAATGCACTTTTTCTCTAAAGCCCCCAGCAGGGTCTAATCACTGACCACTGGTCTCAAAGTCCAGGAACCCCTGTATGAGGCATTTTCTATAAATTCTATTGCTTGTGCTTTTAAGAAGCACATTTGATTTTACACTTTCTTACGTGGTAGGGTTGCTCTTGCGCCGATTACCAAGCATGTGGACCCAATGATCAGGAGAAAGTATTGCGCTATATAACCACAAGGAAGAGGCGCATTATAAATTCCTATACCAGCACTAGTTACACACAAATTGAATGTTTTATGTGGTTCAAAGCTTATACAATAATAGTGGCGAAGACAAGCAAAACCAGTCACTCGTCGCAAATTTGTTTCAGAGATAATGGCCAAAATATGCTGGAATGTCAAAATTTAAAAAATCTATTTTATTGCACTTAACTAACCTTTAAATATCTACACATCATGATATACTGTTATTTGTTGATATGGTTTCTGCCTGAGAAATGCCCGAAATCATAACCTTTGAAGGCTGATTTCTTAAGTTTTGTTTTTAAACAACTGTATGTTTAAACGATTGTAACATCATAAGGAAATGTCGGATTTAAAAGATTCTTTTACCATTTTATAGCTCTCCTTTTCATCTTTGACCCTGCATTAATAACTAAAAATCCATTTTTGCGATGAGTAACTGGTTGGCTTGTCTTTGCCACTTAAACTCTCTCTTTAGTGAATTGTGTATGCCTACAAATTTACCTGTAAATAGTTTTCAAGCCAAAGTATAGCTTTGATATCCAACATGTTAGTAGGTTCATCAAGCAGAAGCAGATCAGGTTTGGAGAACAATGCTCTTGCTAAGGCTATCCTCATCCTCCAACCGCCAGAAAATTCCCTAAAAGAAAAAAGAAAAAAAAAAAAAAAACTTGTACCAAGTGAACAAAAAGCAATTTTCTAATGTATTTTTATTGTATATTGCACAAATAGACGATGTGGACTACAGCAAATTCTTCTACTTCAACTTGATAAAATTTTTTTTAAATGTGTCTGTACCATGTATAAGATCTGCCAGTCATTTTGATCACGAAATTAAGGTATACAAAAGAAGGAGATGGTTCTTGTATTTTTTGGAGGTTTCGCTATGTCAATATGTCTACTTTATTATCAACTTTGACACTGCATACCTTGTACATTGTACTTGCATTGCTGAAGAGAAACCAAGACCTGCCAATATCATTGCAGCCCTGCGGAGAAAAAAAAATTAATAATAATAATATTACAATAATAATAATAATAATAATATTACAATAATAATAATAACAATAATAATAATAATAATAATAATAATAATATAATAGTTACAGTTCATTCCACAACTCCTTGGCAAGCAAAACATTGCATTTTTCTTTCCCTTATACAAATGATTGTCTGTGTGCAATATGGTAACTGATGATGGTAGAAGCACTGCCAGAAAATGTCTTGTTGGGGCTGTTAAGGCCAAGATTATATGTATAGACTTCACCTATGATGATACAATACGAACTGTTGCGTTGCTTTTAAAAAAAATAATATTAGCAAGTTTAACCAATCGCCTCTGGAGAACAACTGGCCATCATAGGATTTTAAATCTGTTGATGTTATTGTCCTTCTACTATAGCTAAACCTAGCCTAGATAAAGTTTTTTGTATTACTCATTTCTTGCATCTTTTTTTTTTAATGTTATGATTAATTTTACTCGAGTTATTATAATTAAAATTTGGTCAATAATTAATAATTCAACTTCAGCACTACACAATGATGCCAGTTTTCTTACATTTTTTTTTGCTCTTTCTTTCTATTTCTTTTTTAACATATTCTTTCCATATATCCTTACTTGCATTCTTTTCATTCCTTTTTTTCACCCTATCTTTTCTTATTTTTATCTTTATATTTATTGGTCTAATATATTTAAAATAAATACATCAGAAATTCTTCATTTATACACTGCAATAAAAGGTAAGAAACTCAATATACAATTACATATAAAAGGTTATGAAACACAATTCAATTACAATTTAAAATAGAAAAAGTTATGTTAAACGGCAAAAACAATTCAATATATACAATTCAAATAAATACTTTAGGTAATACAATAAAATTTACAATTATTAATTAGATTGATATTGATATTTCTTCTTATATTTGTCCTTATCTTTCCTTTTCTTTTTTTCTTAGCATTACTGCTTTAAGATTGCTGTAAAAATTGTCTAATACCCAATTAACACTACAGAAAATGTACTAAATATTAACAGGAATCTGTTCCTTACAGCTTCTCTCTTAATATCTAGCTTACAGGAACCTAGGCAACACACTAACAAACTAGAGCAGTCACTCGATAGAGTGCATACCTCCACCCTCTGCTTGGACACCGAACCATTACACAGGCCATGTACGGCCGATTTCATTATTTTCTTTTATGACTGAGAGCAAAAGATCAAGAAAGAAACTGAATTTCCAAGACCTTGACCTTTGACCTTTCACTCCCAAAAGTGAATCTCTTTATTAGATCATTACGTGCCATTTCACTAAATTTATCGTGATTTATTCCTTAGTTTTTGCATAATATTACTAACAGACAGACAGGCGTGAATGCATAACCTCCTTGGTGGAGGTAAAAATAACTTACTTTGCAGGTGCTTTATCAGCTTCTATTTCCTCTAATGCCTGGTAGACTTCATTTAGACGTTGACTCTGCTTTGAATCAGTTGAACCAGGGCTATAATAGAGAACTGAATATTAACTGTCAAACATAAAAAAATAACAAAATCAATAAACTAGAAGCTTTCTGGTAAGAAATATATCTATAACTCTGTAGTTAAATAATACCATTATTGTTTAATGTATTGTTTAGTTTTCAGTAATTACAGACTTCTTGAAAATCCTTATATTGATTACCAGTTAATGGGTCTATACATGAAATTTTTCAACACTGACCTGAGATAAAACCAAAATAAATGACATAACCAAAGAAGTAAAATAGAAGAAATGGATGTGGGCAGTTCATTAAGAAAAGACAATAGATGGACACACACTCCATGTGTCTGTAGTACCAGAACTAGTCTCCTTACGGCCGTTTCAAGGCAATTGAAACAACGTAACTTGAAATTTTCATTTTTCGAGAAAAATTTACAGTTAAAGTTTGCATGTTTGCAACTTGGCAATAAATTGTTGTACCCTTCTGAAATTCTGCAGGATTGTATATCTATGACATTATGATTATATGTAAAATTTTAATTACAACCATTGGTTTATTGCAACAGTTATTAACGATATTCACAGATACGTTCTTTTACGTTGAAAACATGTCAGACGCGTTATTGCCGCAAGTGAGACATATTTTTCGAATGTATCACATCAAACAATCATATGTATTATCTAGCTTGTGCATACATCGTTGTTAAGATTATTGATATGGAAACACCACCTCAGGACGGACGCCCATACTCGTCCCAAATGATGTACTGGGTTCTTTGTAGTGTACAATAGGCCTACGGTTTATATTCCTTATCCGAGAAGACTTGTCCTACCACCAAAACCATAGATGAGTCTGCGCTCGAATCAGCAGCGCCAATATTTTGGCTGTAAGTTGCAGCACCCCTGCTTTAACCACTTGGCCATCGACTTATATGGCAATGAAAAATATGTTTACCTTGTTGCTTGCAGTTGCTCACTCAATTGTTTCTCTTCTATCAACAGATTATTGCGTACAGTATCACATTCCAGCACACTGTCAATGGCTAGGGTATCATCACCGATCACTTCCTGCTCTACATGCAGCACACTGATGTGTGACTGTATCCGTAGCTCACCACTGAAAGGAAATGATCATTGAAAATTTGATCCAAATTCTTAATGTAACATACATGTGCCTGACGTAGCAAATTAAAATAAAGATGTGGAATGTAATTCGATGGATGAAATTTTCGGTAAGAGACAATAATATCAAAGACTATATGTTTAAAAGAAACTGTGTTTTAATAGAAAATGTAGTTCTAAATGATCCAAACTGCCTCTCATACTTTAGTACCCTACCCTCTTTATATGTGGCAAAGACAAGCCAAACCAGTCACTCGTCGCAAAAATCGATTTTGTGTTATTAATACTGTGTTAGAGTGTAAAATAATAGCTATAAAATGGTAAAAAAATCATTCAAATTGTACATTTCCTTATGAAGTTACAAGCGTTTAACCACACAGCTGTTTAAAGAACAATATATGAAAAATCAGCCTTTAAAGTTTATGATTTCAGGCATTTCTCATGCAGAAACTATCTTTAAATCCTTAAAAAGTGTTGTTTTAACATTGAAAATGGGGAAAATAACAGCATAGGATGGTGTGTAGATATATAAAGGTTAGTTTAGTGCAATAAAATAAATTTTTTTTAATTTGACATTTTAGCATCTTTTGGCCATTTTCTCTGAAACACGATTTGCGACGAGTGACTGGTTTGGCTTTTAATTGTCTTTGCCACATATTCATTTATAATTTGGTAAGGTACTAGAAAGGGGTCGTTGTAATGTAAAGCATAGGAATCCACGGTCCTACAGTACTAATTCTATTACCTCGCCCAAGAAGCCCCGAAGATGCCTAGCAATGATGATTGAACAAAAGTGTGAGATCGTAGAGCTTTAGCTAATTATGGTGTTTCTCCTTGGCAGTGGCCTATGTTTGAGACACTTAAGCCTGTTTCCCACTAGGCAAATTTTTTGGCACAAATCAAAAGCGTTGGTTCATGCGCATTGACATTTCTATAGGCCAAAACTTCTATTAGAAAAATTCTTTGTTCTCGGAGTCTTTCACTTCAGCGAAATAAGTTTTGCGAAGCAAAAAAAAATGTGCAACCAATCAGAACTCAGGAAATAAGTTTCACAATAACACAATAATTTTATGCATATGATATTTTTTCTTTTATAAACCATTTTTCATTTTATGTTGTTTTTTTAAAAATCTGACCCACGATATATTTTAGATTACACAAGACTTTAACAGAAATTGTATATTAACTATACCATTTTTGAAACAAAGTTTGAATATAAATATATATATATATTAACATGAACCAATGCTTCATATCTTATGCTTCTGAATTGACCATGCCCCTCTGCCAGCTACAGTAAGAAATACCTCTTACTGGTACTCCACCCTCAATTTATAATATATTTTTAAAGAAAAATGCATGTTATAATAAATACCTTGATATCATATGTAGCAGTGTACTTTTTCCTATACCATTTCTTCCCACAAGGCCATAGCGCCTACCAAATGCTAAAAGCAAGTTTGCGCTATTTAATAATACTCTGCAAAAAATAAACAACAAATAACAGTTCAGCTTTGAAAATACCAATTTTAAAAATTACAATCATAATATCTAGCATTCATGATTTATTGTCTAGGTAACTGACTTTATCATCAATCTTATAAAAGTTAGCTCTATAATATATTGAAAATGTACTGGTCTTATCTATAATGTGTGTACATTTGTCTCATTATACATCACCTAAATCAAAATAACCTACTTTTCACCAAATGCTACGTCAAAGTTTTCAATCTTGATATCTGTGGATCGATTTGTACCAGATTCCTCCAACTTCTGATCCCTCCTGCTTGTGGCCTGGCTGGCAGATGCAGTCATAGTGCTATTGCTGTGAAGTTAGGAAAAACATTCTTCAAATCTAATGTCAGAAATATATCAAATACTATAATGATATGCAGGGATCCCAAGTCTCGCGCAAGCCGCGGCAGTCTCTCCCAGAAATCTGGATGACGGCCTCCCCGCCACCCCCCTCCAGCAAGCAAGCAAGATCTTAATCTCCCGCAAATTAAAAATATATTCATCTTTTTATACATTATCTCAAGGAATTCAGTATCAACAGGTATCACCATGCACAACAGCAAAATGAAAATAGATTTGATTTGAAAGGTCATTTAACCAGATCTCCAGGAAGAGATTTCTTCCAACTTGTGACCCCTGGATATGTTAACTAGTGTATACAGTACTGTAGACAGATATAAAGAATAGTACGATAGACAAAAACGGTGAAACCAAACTAGTAGAGAAGAATGCATATAGTAGTTAACAGTAGAAGAAGCAGCAACAGTAGTAGTAGAGTGATAATAGAAAATAATAGTTAACTCAAGGCTGTATAAAATAAAGGCAGGAAGGTTCCAGTCAAAGATAAACAGTTATAAAATAGCAGAAGGAAATACAGTAGGAAGGATATACAGTGGGAGAGCATCAATTCAGCTAGTAGTAAATTATAGCTAAGTATAAATGATAATTAGCTTAAAATGGATATGAAACGGTTTCTACAAATCCAAAATCTTGTCATCATTGTTTAGAAAGTCATTGGAAAACCTCGGACACCCAATATTAAACGTATTGGACAATGCCTTACCCCCAAAAATTCCCCCCGAAAGTCACTGAAAATCTTTTTGTGACGTCACAAAAAGATAAATTTGTACTGCGAGGATAGGGAATGTGGAGCTTATTTGCCAATTGACACAATACAGTGATGGTAATAGCTAATCCGCTTTACATTTTTGTTCCTGGATATGTATTTCATCGTAAATGATTAAAATTTGGCTATATATTTCTAAAATTATTTTTTCAAGTCCATTTTTAATGTTGTTTTTACGACTGTCTTTTACGAATTTGGCAGCCATATGCCTCGGAGGATAGGCACACGGATGTAATTACACGCATGCGTGAAATTTGGTGAAATCCACAATACACAAGTTTTTAGCTGTAGACATTTTGTTCTCGCGGATTTTATAGTGTCCATCACAATTCCAATTATTATTAGTATTAATTGACCGATCTTATGGCAAGTGACAATCAGTCATCATCATCCGATGAAGAAAAAGCTGCGGAGCCTCGTAGGCTTATTGTAAATTTTGGCCAAATTATGGCATTTATTGGCGACGATGAACCAAGCAAGGTCCGTCGCTGTTGCTGATGATGATGAACTTGGTGAACTTATTCGCCTAGGTTTACCGGGAAATATAAACGTGCGGCAAGACAGGAATGGTAATTTTATTCATATCACATGTTTTTTGAACATCATATACTGGTTGTTTGACATCCCGTAGCAGATTTATTATATATTATGTCAAAGCAAAGCTTAGGCCTAGCTAGAGGGTAGAGCGCCGTACGGCTAGGCCTACGTACCGGCCTACAGTAGCTAGACCTAGGGCCTAGTCTAAAAGATTTTTTCGGGAAAATCTGCGTGGAAATTGGCCCTTATTTTTCCAATTGCGCGGACGGTTTTTATGGCATTTTTTTGTTTTGTTTGGGTGGAGGCTTCTAACTAGGCCTAGCCAATTCATAGTCTGGGGTCTACCTTCCTAGGCTAGGCCTGTTATAGCCTAGGCCTAGTCTAGCGAGGTCTATATGCCTAGGATAGCCCTTCTTTGCCTATCTAGGCTAGGCATCTTTGGCTAGGCCAATACTGTAGGGAGGGTTAGGGTGGTACTAAATATATAGACTAAGGCCTATTGCCATGTTTGGCCTATTTTAGCCTAGTTAGTTGGTGGGTGTATACCCAGGGGAATTCTATTTTAACCAAATAAAAAAAAATATCCTTTTAAATCTGACATCAGTGTGCCCTATTTGTATGGATGGAAAACCAAACGGAATATTTTAACATTGCATGCATAATTTAAAGCGTATCTTTGATATTTTTTTTCTGAAAGTATTTGTAGACTAGAAATCAACTGAGCCATTAAAATCATACCCTGGGCTTCTATTTGGGGAAATAGAACCTGTCTGAGTTATGATAATTGGGCCTAGTCCTTCTATTATGTTCTATAAAATCATTAGTTTAGTAAAAAAAATGCATTTCTGTTATTTTCAGGTGTACTTGTGGAAACTGCGTCGTGGAAGAGATGTGGGGAAATCGTTCCTGTTGTCAAGAAGTAAGAACCATTCGATTAAAATACAAATTAAGGCCATGTAAAATAAAAGAATTGGTTAGCATCCCCTACCAATTTTAAAAATTATAATCATAATATCTAGCATTCATGATTTATTGTCTAGGTAACTGACTTTATCATCAATCTTATAAAAGTTAGCTCTATAATATATTGAAAATGTACTGGTCTTATCTATAATGTGTGTACATTTGTCTCATTATACATCACCTAAATCAAAATAACCTACTTTTCACCAAATGCTACGTCAAAGTTTTCAATCTTGATATCTGTGGATCGATTTGTACCAGATTCCTCCAACTTCTGATCCCTCCTGCTTGTGGCCTGGCTGGCAGATGCAGTCATAGTGCTATTGCTGTGAAGTTAGGAAAAACATTCTTCAAATCTAATGTCAGAAATATATCAAATACTATAATGATATGCAGGGATCCCAAGTCTCGCGCAAGCCGCGGCAGTCTCTCCCAGAAATCTGGATGACGGCCTCCCCGCCACCCCCCTCCAGCAAGCAAGCAAGATCTTAATCTCCCGCAAATTAAAAATATATTCATCTTTTTATACATTATCTCAAGGAATTCAGTATCAACAGGTATCACCATGCACAACAGCAAAATGAAAATAGATTTGATTTGAAAGGTCATTTAACCAGATCTCCAGGAAGAGATTTCTTCCAACTTGTGACCCCTGGATATGTTAACTAGTGTATACAGTACTGTAGACAGATATAATGAATAGTACGATAGACAAAAACGGTGAAACCAAACTAGTAGAGAAGAATGCATATAGTAGTTAACAGTAGAAGAAGCAGCAACAGTAGTAGTAGAGTGATAATAGAAAATAATAGTTAACTCAAGGCTGTATAAAATAAAGGCAGGAAGGTTCCAGTCAAAGATAAACAGTTATAAAATAGCAGAAGGAAATACAGTAGGAAGGATATACAGTGGGAGAGCATCAATTCAGCTAGTAGTAAATTATAGCTAAGTATAAATGATAATTAGCTTAAAAGGAATATTTACCCATTAGAATTTGTCTTTGGTACATCATCTTTCATGGATCTTTTCTCCTGTTTTGCCTTAATTTTTGCCTCTGCCTTTTCCAGCTTCCTTTTGTCAACATTCTGATGAACATGAATAGTATTTTGATGAGTGTTTGTGTCAGAAAAATAACAGATAGCGATATTTTGCCTACTTGACGTGATATTGTACTGAACTTATTACGTTCCCAAATACTTGCGGGAAAAATTTGCAAGTGATTCGGGTGGAAATCTAACCCACGACCTCCAGAACTTCTGTAGCATGGTGTCATAACCATACATCACCGAGCTGGCGTTTAGCGACTAGTGTTGAATCCGATCCCCAGGTAACGTAGGTAGGGCAATCCCCAACTACTTTTTTATGATGGTAGAAGATGGGCAGAAAGACAATTGAACAAATGAATGAAGAACAATACATTTATGAAATTATATTGTTGATCTAATGACAACCATCCTCTTCATTTGTATCTTCACCTCCCGCCATCAGTGTACCTCATCACTTCGTAACTCCAGTCATACTGTATTTCTTCCCATTTCTTTGCTGCACAAACTATTTTGCCTCTTCATTCCTTTCCTATGCTATGAATTATCATCACCCTCTCTATCCAATGACCCTCATAATCTCACACCTATTCTGATTAAAAAGCTGCCGTACATGTGAAGAAATAATTATTACCATCACCTAATTTTTGTCGGGGTATGCAGGTTTTTAGGACCTTTGGAGAAATGTTCCTACCCTGTGATGCATGATTTGATTAGGGTTAGGGTATGCGGGTCATTAGGACCTTAATGGAGTAACATCCCTACACCAGGATCCATAGTTCATTTAGGGTTTGGAATGAGGATCATTTGGACTAAACGTCACTACCACAGGATGCATAATTCATTTAGGTTTGGGGTATGTGGGTCATTAGGACCTAATAGTAAAGTAACTCCTGTACCCCACATTGCATAGTTTGGAATGCGGGTCATTCACATTTGTGAAGTGACATCCTTCAACCATGATGCATAGTTAATATTGTATTGTATTGTTGGTTTTCTATTTGTGTGTTGTGCAGATATTGGCAATTGATGGCAATTGCAGCGATAAAAGAAATTGAATTGAATAATGGATGATGTAAATCTGACTTACAGATACAGCCTCTTTCTTGGCCATCCATATACTTGCATCATCCGATAAAATCACCTCTTCAACAAGATAAAAACAAATCAAACAAAATATAAAGATCAATATATCATTTTGAGAGTCATTTGTGGACAAATTCTATTGTCAGATCTGATGCCATTATAATGTCCTGTGTCTTGACCAATAAATTATTGAAAATACATGAAGGCAACAGAAGAAAAATAATAAATCTCATTTGTATTTTATAAAAGAGACATCAAATTCCATATTATGTACAGTAGCTGAGTGACACTCAATGCTACGTCTATGCTATGCTAAACAAGCATTATTATTGTTTTATAGGATTTATATAGCGCAAATATCAAAAAAACTGTTCAAGGCTCCCCTCACCCCCCGGACATTGGGTACAGAATCCATCATACACAACACTGAACCTCCTATGCTCAGCGGGAGGTATTTTTAATTACTGTATGTGTGTAAAAGAGTGCATAAAGCCTACGCTGTTAACCCCAGGCCTTGCCATCCTGAAACCAGAGTACAGAATTTTGCCGAGCAGAGCACCAAGTTAACTACGAGTTTTTTACGAGCATAACAAGTTTGTACCGAATTAGATACGAGTTAGGTACGAGCCAACTCGGTGCGCTCGTACTTACTCATACTCATTTTTGGGTGCTTGCATCAAACTCGGATGACAAAACTGCTGACGAGTATCCAAAGTAGTGTACGACCTAGGTAGGAGTACCCCGAATACTCTATGAGCTACCTATCAGTTCTTCAAGTTTACTACGAGTTATCTACTCGTGGCGCAAATTTTGAACATCATGTTCAAAATTAGCGCCACAAGTTCAGAGCTGCAAAGAGTAGGTTAGAGTATTCGACAAGCTTTCCGAATCGTCCTACAAGTTTTTGCCGAGTTAGTAACTTGGCAAACTCTTGTAACTCGTATGCTGAAAAGAACCCTGGTGGGAGAGGGGCTTTAATATCATGACCCATCATTTTAAAGCTTAGGGCTTATAATGAAAATGAATATATAAAAAAGTAAATTTTCATGTTAGGCTGTCACTGATGCTTGATGCTGGTTTGGCATGGAAAAGCCCCATCTGTTTTGTACTCTTGTGTATATTATGAATTGTCCCTAACGAACTACAGTAATAACAAAAGGATAGTGCCCCTTTCCCCTGAGCTAGTAAATTTGATAACAAATCAATTACAATAATACTGATAGTCCCCAAGTCTTTACCTTGAGCCTCAACAATCTCAGCTAAGTGAACTGGGGCATCAAGAAGAGTAGCACTTGCACTATCTGTACCTCTAGAATTACTTGGAACAAGGAACAAATTAGATTATTGATCGCAACTTGGTGAATTCACATGGCAAACATAAATTAATGTAGGGAGGGTACAGCCAAGGCAAAACTGTCATTTTTTCCTGTCAAGGTTTCATCATCATCTCTCAATTATTTTTAGTTAACTGGTGGAGGGGGTGGGGGGTCACTAGGATTTTTGCTTTAAATTCAAGATGGCCACCAAAAAAAAATTGAACATTATGTTTCAGTCAATTACCTAGACAGTAGGAAGTTTCATGAAGTATGCTAAAATGAATAATTTTATAATCCTCTGGAATTGTTCTAAATTTATGCACAACGGAAAACAAAAAGTGCATAAACTTTTAAAAACACATTAAAACATTAAATTTATTATAGTTACTAGCGTAAGTAGGACTGTTTTAACGCCAACATTTATTATTTATTTATTTTTTGGTTTCTTTATATTTGTAATTCATATGCCAAAATTTGTGATGTTTATCTTCTGCCAAAACTATAAGAAGAACTGAAATTTGTCAACAATAGAAGTTCCCTCTTTTGGACAGCTAGAAAAGCAGTCCACAATTTTTGTAACTGCTGTTCTGTGCAAAATTTGGTAGCACGTGTCCATTTTTAAGGTTTTTGTCATCGTCGAATACTAGTTGTTTTGTTTCACTGGCTGTCTCATTCAGCAGTTTGGTTCTGAAATTTATTTCCACTGCCTAGGCAGAGGAAATAGAGACATACCATTTTTTTTAATACAACTGTGACGTAAACAAGTGGGCCCTTTTAGGACCTCGCTCACACTGTATACAGAATGGAGTGTTGGAATATACAGTATACTGTACTTCATTGTACTTAATTGTACTTAATTAATTACTTAATTGCACTTAATTGTACTGCACTAAATTGTACTTAACTGTTTTTAATATACAGTAATTTAAGTATGTTTTTCATCTTTGAAATAATTCTGTATTTATTTGCTGTAAGTTTTAGTTATGCTCTGTTATGTTTTAGAAAGAAAGTGTTTGAATAAATATACCAGGATAGCTGTAGTTTGGTATTAAATGGTGGTTAAGATGCATGTCTTCCAATCCTAATGTCCAGGGTTCAATCCTATGATAGCACCAGATTTCTATTTCTAATGACTAAAAAAACAGCTCCACTCCCTAAGCCCCATAATGAGACTTCACTAATAAAAGCATCACATTAATTTCATTTTTTTTTTAACAGGGCACCTGAATATCGGCCAACCTTCAAGAATATGCTGGAAGGGGTCACCCTCTATAAATATGGTTTAAAAACAAATTATCAAAAATAAATAAATTCAAATCAAATCATTATACAATCAAATCAAATACATTAAAATCACACCTTTAGGCCAAGTAAAAAAAAAAACATGTTTCACGTCCGGCTTTTTTTTTAAATTGAGGAAGAGGCCTTTTTTATTTTTTATTTTTTATTTTTCAAAATGGCCGCCATTCTACAGACTTGTTGACATTTCCCGNNNGTTTTGTTCAACATATAAAATTTAGGAATCATTGTTACTGTATACAATCGGAATGTTCCCGATGTTACGTCTCAGACGTCTTCACATGAAACTATTCCATACAATCTGACATAGAGGCCAGAATTCATCGGAAATCATCGGCCGTATTCGATTGGGACTTTCGTGCTCTGCTCAACGGAAACTGCTCAACGAAGTTAACGCTCGGAATTTATCGTTGAGTTTTGTACTCAACGGGATAATATACTCAACGTATAGTCCCAATCGAATACGGCAATTGTATGCTCGAGGTTTGCCGCCTGACGCCCAGAGTAGGCGACGGCCTAGGCCTAGCCTAGAGATATCGGGCTAGGTAGAGATATTGGGCTAGCCCAGCATAGCCTTACTATACGAAAGGTTAGACGAAGATATTGCACTACTTTAGGCTAGGGTATTTATTTTCCAACATTTAATTCTAAATTTTCGATATATTTTTTCTTTATTTTCATGAATTTTCCAAAAATAAAAAATTTAAAAAAAATCAAGGCGGGCAAAAAAAACAATGCGGGTGGGGACGCGAAACATGTTTTTTTTTTTACTTGGCCTTATACTATATGTTATTAGTTTTTTATTTTTTAATTTTTTTTTATAACATTAGTTAGAATAGATACCGTGCATCATTATGGCACCTGTGAATTATGTTCCAGCTAACCATTGTTTGACAACTGGTCTTAAATTGTGGGAGAACAGTGCGATGATGTGCGGTTCTTCTGCTATAGTCCTTTCATTTCGGTTCCTTTCCTTAGTTGGTTAGCATAGAATCTTAAGTTCGATTTTCTTTTTTTTATTATTTTATTTTAGCGCATTGAGACTTCGGTGTAATGCGCTATAGTAAATCCCACTATATTACATTACATTACATTCAATTGTTAAAAAAGTCCATTGGAAAATAATGTTCGTCCATCTTACAGTTTGAGGATCTTGCAGAGTTGTTGGCAAACTTGGCTGACAAGTTGCATCTCATCCTCGCCCGCAACCTCCACCAAAATTCCTCCTACAGCTTCGTTTACATCTTCTTCAGATTCAAAGTCGTCGCTACCACTTTCCAAAACACCTACAGTGTATTAGATATAAAATAATGTTTCCATGGAACACGTAACGTTTTTAAAGGGGTTTTTTTTGGGGGGGGGTATGGGGTCAATGATGGTACTGTATAAGTGGTGATCAGTATGAGCAACAAACTAATGGTGACATAGGGATTGAACTGGTGGTCATGTCTTAAAGTTTGTTTACAAAGATTCAAAGTCGTCGCTACCACTTTCCAAAACACCTACAGTGTATTAGATATAAAATAATGTTTCCATGGAACACGTAACGTTTTTAAAGGGGTTTTTTTTGGGGGGGGGTATGGGGTCAATGATGGTACTGTATAAGTGGTGATCAGTATGAGCAACAAACTAATGGTGACATAGGGATTGAACTGGTGGTCATGTCTTAAAGTTTGTTTACAAACTTATTTTGACCTCCTACCGCACACTTTTTTTTTTTTTTTGAAATGTAATTTCAATTGTAATATTTATCGTTTAATTTATATTTTATGTGTGTGTGGTAAAAAAAAACAACAAAACAAAAAAAAACAAAAAACTGTTTTTCTTTTTGGTGTTTTTTTTTTTTTTTTTTGCATATTTGGAATTACAAAATTTCAGCTGGCCATCGGGACCCCTACCAGCCATAGTGAGGAGCAGTATCACATTTCCCCTCTGCCTACTCTCATGCTGAAAATTGAAGGGCTAAAGCGACCGACTTCAAATAAAAACTGATATTAATTAGCCTGCTTTGACCCAGGCTTTTCGGCACAACAACACTTTTTTTATTTTATTCCTTAGCACAGTACAACAACAAAATCAATAAAAGAAAGAGGAGGGCTTGATTCGGAGCCACCACTCACCACTGACACGTGTTTATATGTAGATTTCTTTGTGAAATTCGAAAAACTGGTCTCTGTTTATCTCGTCAAAACCTTTTATAATTTTAAATTGGCCTACTAGGCCTATAGTATAATAGGCTAGCCTATCTTTATACTTCCTTCTTGATTATGACTAGGCCTAGGCCTAGCCTAGCCCTATGCTATGCTACTGCTAGTGTCTAGCCCACAGCACACACGCCGCACGGCCATCTGTTACTGTCTGTACTGTAGTGTTAGGTTAGTTTAGGGCATGACGATAATCAATCAAAAACATAGCCAAAACTGCCTATACAACTGATATATGCCTAGACCTATGGTGGTTAGAACTTGCAATTATATCATCGTATGCGATTCGTGTAGTACAATTTCATTACCTGTAACGTACTCTAAAAGTTCACTATCAATGGATGGAAAATTAGAAGTTATAACTTCACTGTAAGCGGCCATCTTGTTTAGCGAAACCGCCAAACGAATTTGCAAAAGAGGGAGCTAAACGATTGCACAACACAGAGCTATAGATAGAAGAGTTGCGACATTGAGAATTTAGAAGCCATTTTGTGTCATACGCGATGCGCGTTCTGTGACTAACGTGATGTGCGTTCCTGTGTATAATATTGTATAATACATTTAGCGGCCTCCTGTATAGTTTAATTTCATTTAATCTTTTTAGCAGTCGAATTTCATGAAACTATTTATAGATTTTTTTTTTTATGATTTCACCCAGCAAAAATTAATTAAATACGTATATCAAAATGTAATTTAAATCCGTCTAGCGTATATAGATTGTTGCTCTTTAAATTTGAATATGAGCGAGCCCTATACAAATCTTATGTTATTAATTTGATTATAATTATTTATAAATATTATAATAGTATAGGTCTTTATAATAGTATAAACTGTGCTTTGCTGTAAATGTTAAAAATTGTAAGTGTTAAATGATACAGGATCTGTGATATATTCAACTTGTGTAATTATGTAACGTACATTTTATTGTATTAAAAGTCTCGCCTCTATTTTAATATTGTATTATGGCTGTACAGTATGTTAGTTTTATAAACACACTGCGAGAGCGTGTCCGCTGTTTTAAAAGCTTCGTTTCCAATAAAGTTATAATAATTATATAATAGTATGCAATAGAAACAGCAAATCATTTTTAAGATTATTAAACATCACCTTTATTTTCATTTTCATTCGTATTTATACAGGCTGTACAAAGATTTGAAATTAAGAACATTTTCTAATATTGTTTAGCGAACAACCTTTAAAGATCGTCAGAAAGGGTCGGGAAAAAAATTAATTTTTTTTCTTTTATTTAGCTTAAATATTTTTCCGAACGTATCTAGGCGAATGAGAAAATAAAAATAAAATTTTAAGGATGAACGTATACAGTGTAATAATGCAACTGATAAATGATTTAAAATTATATAATTAAGGAAGAAATATATATATATATATATATATATATATATATATATACTATTAAAAACAATTAAGACCAAAGAAAAGATTACCATTAAATAAAATAGGTCGAGTCTTCATTGATTAAAATGTGACGAATTAACGATAATTGAAAACAATTCTAATTTTATTTCAATCATTTACGCGAGCACGCACGCGCGCAAATATTCGATTATACATATGAATTCTTATACGCTGTCCATACTAAGTGATGTTAGTTATAAAATATAATTGTAAACCCAATTAAGTGTGTGAAATTAATATGCAATGTACGTAACACATATACTTTGCATGTGTTCATCGGGAAGATTATGTAACAAAATGGACGGTGTGTACCACGTGACTTTCGTAAACCAAGGAGTGGAATGTCGCAACTCTTTTGGCTCTGGCCATGGCTCTGGCACAACATACAGCAGAGAGGCATAGAGTTTATTCGATTGGTTCATTTCGTTGAGTATGAATTTTCGTTGAGTATTATTTTCATTCAACTGGTTCGTTAAATATAGACTTCGTTGACAACGAAAATTAACGTAAACCAGAGTGCGTTAGCATTAAGTTATCCACGTGACCAAAAAAAAAAACATGGCCGATTGGTGAGTTTATAAACAACATTTGCGTTAATATAACTTAGATTAAATTTCATAAAATAAAAATTATAATATCTACCCACATGGAGTCAAAAAATAATTGTAGGCTAACAGAATTCAAAAACTGGATGAAAATATTTTTATTTACGAAAATCCCATACTACCACAAGTTGAAGCAATTTGGATTACGCAACGTGTATGGCGGTAACTATACAGCCATTTTGTTTTGTCGAGTATTTACAAATTTTCTATTCGACTGGTCGTTGAGTAGGATTTTACCGCTGCGCAGGTGGGCGTAGTTTAACGAAGAACGACCAGTTGAATATAGCCATAGAGCTGCGACATTAAGAAGAAGCCATTTTGTGTCAAACGCGATGCGCGTTCTGTGTCTAACGTGATGTGGGTTCCTGTGTATATTGTATAATACAGTTAGCGGCCTCCTGTATAGTTTAATTCCATTCAATCTTTTTAGCAGTCGAATTTCATGTAACTATATTTATAGATTATTTTTTTATGATTTCACTACTTAATATCCAATTTCATATTTTTTGTAATAATTTACTCTTTTTAAGCAGTTCTTTAATCGTCGCCGATAGACCGAGAGAGCCCCTCGATGGCAAGCATTCCTTAAGTAGTTCCTGTTATTTTTGCAAATAAATTATACCTATGTGACGACCAGAAAAAATGTATTAAATATGTATATCGAAATGTAATTAAAATCCGTATATAGGGTATATGCCAGGCTCCTTAGGAGGAAATTTCTTTGTACTTATGTATGTTGTAGAACTAATTTTTCTAAGCTGTAAGGAAAAGGTCCGTACTCCCTCTTTTCACCATTTTTAAATAATCAAAATCTGTACTTATCATCCGCTTCCGAGTGTTTTGTCAAATATGCTTTTCGTGTCTTAAACAAATCAGTTCTACAACACTACAAAAATAATTTTCCTCTGAATCATAGTTTTAAATTTGAATATAATTTTCTTTTTTTCTCCATAATAATAATAATAATAATAATAATAATAATAATAATAATAATAATAGTAATAGTAATAATAATAATAGTAGTAATAATAATAATAATAATAATAATAATAATAATAATAATAATAATAATAACTAAATAAATAAATAAATACCCTGTAAATAAAAACTAGGCTGTGTTCGAGCTTTCTTAACGTGACCTAGTCATACCTACTGGCACTGACTTCTGTGAGACAATTGATAATAAAGCAAACATACGGGCGGATCTGGGTTCAATTTTAGGGGTGGGGGGGGGTCAGAATGTTTCCAAACCCACAAAATCAAAGGGGGTCATGGAAAAATTTGATTCCTAGATGGCGGCAAATGAGTTTTTCTGACTTCTGCGGTGTCTTTTAATAACTTTTAAGTTCTTCAAAATTCAACGTTTTCACCCGCTTGAAAACGGTCAGTTAAATTTTCTCATTCTTATTACAGTAAATAGCATAGAATGTCAAAATTTCAAAACTAAACTGTATCTGGGCTATTGACAACAATGCAACTGTTTGACTTTGCTGCACACACTGTGCAGTATCATCCTTGTGTCAGCTTCCTCATGATTGCAAAATAGATTTGGCACAGGTAGCACCTCTACTGCAACGCCTTTGTTTTGAATGACATGACATTCATTGTATGCTATGCGCCACGAAAACATGGACATCAGAAAGAATCTCCCTTTCACACATTCTCCATCTTACAAAAAAGAAGTCGACTAGTCATCGTAATCATCATCATCATCGTTGTTAACAACATTAACCTTTAATATTGTTTCTATATAATATATGTATTATACTTTTAATGTATAAGCCGAACAGATACCATTTTTTTGCATAAAATTACATCTATTACCACCCTTTTTATTATTAATATCATAATAATAATAATAATAATAATAATAATATTTATTATAATTATTATTTTATTATTATAATATTTGTATATTAATGTTATCATTGCTATTACCGTATTATTATTATAAATATTGTAATCAATATTTTTATTATCATTAGTCTTAGTATTATATTTATAATTATACTATAATGTATTACAATGTTGATACTGTTGTTAAGCAAGATTGTTAATCTTCATTAAGTAATCCGTAAGTACACTTCGTATTAACTCATTCATACTTGGAGGTGATATAGAAGTTAATCCCGGGCCCAATAGTAACAGCACACGTAATGTAAAAAAAAAAAAAAAGCTTAACGTATACTACCAAAACGTCCGTAGCATCAACAATAAAATGCAAACCTATAAGACTGAACTGTTAAGTCATATTTTAATGAAACACCTTGACATCATAGCGTTATCCGAGACGTGGTTAAACAAATCCGTAGATGACAGTGAATTATCCTTAAATGGCTTTGATTTATACCGAGAAGACCGACAAGAGTACAAGCGTGGAGGTGGTGTATTACTTCTTATCAACAGTAAACTCAAGTCAAAACGTCTGGACAAGTTTGAAGATTGTCATGAACTGTTGTGGGTCAAGATACAACTGTCGAGAAAGAAAAACCTAATAGTTGGCGTGTACTACTGTCCACCTGCTTTTCCAAAAAGTTCTATTGACCTTCTTAATGAATCTATCAATAATTTGCAATATGAATTTCAAGGCTAATAATCATGACATTTTATTATTATCCTGAGATAAAATGGTATACAGATAACAACAAATGTAATACACTGATGAGTGAAGCACCCGACAATTCAAATGGGAAATATTTTATTGACAACATTTCACATGGCAACAATTTTAACCAATTTATACAATTTCCGACATGTGCGAATCACACTCTTGATCTCATATTGTGCAATACGACATGTAATGAAGTTACAGCTGGAGATGATATATTTTCCTCTGACCATTGTGCAATACATTTTAATTATCCAATTGAATTTAATAATAATTATAATTACAACAATGACCAACGATTACGTTATAACTTTTAAAAAAATTAATAATTCCGATTTTATTGAAACACTTACCCATATCCCTTGGGACATACTCAATCTTGCTCCTGATGTTAATGAATCAACGGATATATTCTACGATCTAATTTTTGCAACAATTAATGATTTAGCTCCCGTATTTAGACCTAAGAGAAAACTTCCTCCCTGGTTCGACAATGAACTTATAATGCACTTAGACTTAAAGAAACTTACTTTAGAAAAAAGAAGAGAAATATTATTAGATTGAGTATTGAAAATTTTCGTTTTGCCAGATCTAACTTCAAGCGGTTATGTAGATTTAGGTACCGTTCCTATGTTAATTCCTTATGTAGTGATCTAAGTTGCAATCCTAAACGTTTTTGGTCTTGGTTAAAATCTTCTCGAAAATGTAATGAATTACATTTTGATGGTTGCTCTGCTTTTTCATCTAGAGATAAAGAAAAATCTATATAATCATTTTTTCTATTCAGTTTACAACCCTAAAAATAGC